GTTCTGCTTGTGGTTACATGCAGTCACTTACAGAAAAAGAAGTGGGAAATAAAGCATGCAACTCTTTTCTCTGTCATTTTCCAGTTTGAGGAAATTTTTCTGGATACAAGGGAGGAGTATCTAAAGTTAATCAAAGGTAAGACTCTAAGGCCTGAAGCCTTCTCTATCACAATTTCTCCAGTTTAGCTAAACTTGTGGTTAAAAATATTTTATTTAAACCAATGCAAATCTCCAGATGTACACACTTAACTCAGTTTCTATATAGTAGCAGTTGTCTTCATCTGAAAATTATTGAAATCCTGGTGTTGAGCATCCTGTTCTCTGTGATATGCATAGCCTATGGGGCCTAAGGAGATAGACTAGATTGAGTGAGACCAGTGTGTACGAGTAGCCTGACAGACTGTTGAGCTCACTGATACCCCCATGTCATCAGTGCAACTAAAGGATCCTAAGCCACACAAAGATAAGACTCTGAATTAGTGGTTCATATCTTAATAACACCAAAATTCCCACAAAAGTCCATTTTCCATGGTGCCAGGTGCTGTCTGACTACACGGTGACAGTCCTTTTCTAGATGTTGCAAGCGCTTAAAGGAACACTTATTCAGCTAGTGCTGTATACTCAAGTGACAGAAAGGGGCACATGTGAAAAAAAGAATTGTCAGTGATTTAGCTATTAATATAAGTATTTAATTGCAATTAGAAACAAGAAGACAGCAGCTAAATATAAGTATTTAATTGTAATTAGAAACAAGAAGACAGCAGCTAAAGAAAAGAAGCATGGGAGGAATAGTCATAGAATCATAGAATCATAGAATGCTTAGGGATGGAAGGGACCTCTAGAGATCATCTAGTCCAACCCCCCTGCATACGCAGGGACACCTAAAGCACGTGGCGCAGGACTGCATCCAAGCGGGTTTTGAAGATCTCCAGAGAAGGAGACTCCACAACCTCTCTGGGCAGCCTGGTCAGATGCTATCTTCCCAAGCCATGGCAGAGGTGAACTTGAAGGAAGATAAGGTCTTGCTCACATGTTATAAGGACATTTTTACTACATGGAAATATCAGCTGAGGTGACTGAGGAGTGCTAAAGTACAGGATTTTTTAGCAAGTTTTAGCAGGAGTTGACATAACAATGAGGGATGAGGCTAGCTAAGCAGTATGTGCCCAAGCTGGCCAGCAAGAAAGCAGGCTGGGCTGGACAAGGCATAAGGCATACTTGGACACTGGGATTTTCGTTGCTGGTTTTGGCTGCTCTGTGTTAAGGATATTCTAAAAGTAAATTTTAAAATAACAGCAACAAACAAAAAAGTACCAATAAGATCTGAATTCAAGTTACAGGTCCAGCTGACTGGAAATCTGATGTTATAGGATGTTCTGTGCAGTTTAAGGACACAGATATAGCCCTGCGCATGGTAGCTTATATTTTGAAAGCTCAAAGCTGAATTTGCTTCTCAGTGATAATTAATCCAAACAGAGCAGTGCAAGCCCACACACTGTATCCAAACCAGGTATGTATCCGTGTCCACAGAAGAGAATAATGTGGTGATGAAAAGGAAAATAGAGTTTTATAAAAAAAATTCAAAGGCCATTTTTTAATTCATACATGCACAGGGAGATTAAGAAGCTGAGAACCCAAAGAGAAAAGGAAAGGTTTAATCCAATGGCTGTCAAAAGAACAGATTTGTTAGTCACCATGACAAAGCAAAACAGAGGAACATTCTGTGTGGAGCAGACCTGAACATGAGCAACTCCCCTCTACCCAGCCCTGGTGAGGCCGCATCTGGAGTACTGTATCCAGTTCTGGGCTCCACAGTATAAGAGGGATGTGGAGCTGCTGGAGAGAGTCCAGGGCAGGGCTACAAAGATGATTAGGGGCCTGGAACATCTGCCCTATGAGGAGAGGCTGAGGGAGCTGGGCCTGTTCAGCCTGGAGAAGAGAAGGCTGAGAGGGGATCTAATCAGTGTCTATAAGTACCTCAAGGGAGGCAGTGAGGAGGATGGTGCTGG